TAGGCCGGATACCGTCAGCAACAGCTTTCTATCGGAGAGGATAAATTAGCTTCCAGCTGAGGAAGAAATTAGGAAAAGATGTTGGAAGTGGATAGGACACATATTACGGGAATCATCAAACTGCATCACGAGTCAAGCCCTAACTTGGAATCCTGAATAGGAAAGGAAGAGAGGAAGATCAAGAAATACATTGTATTAAGAATTGGAAGCAGTTATAGATAGAAGGAATAGCAACTGAAAACAACTCGGAAGAATTGTCCAGGACAGGTTGGATGGAGAATGTTTGTGGGCAGCCTATGCTTCTTACCAGGGAATGACAGGCGTAAGTAAGTAAGTTAGTAAATTCAAAACAGACTAATGTAATCTATTTCTGTTCCTAGGTTAGTTTATACGTCAAACTTTAAAAATGAATGGAATATTTTACTAAGGTATTTTTAAATTTCACTTCGGAATTCGAATTGTGTGTGAACATCATCCGACGTCTGCAACGATTGTCGTGTGCGAGAAAAATCTCCACATTTTGGAAAATGGTGTAATTTTTAATCAAAGCGCATCGTTATAAGTCACAGCAAACGTAACATTTGAATTATTACAAGGGCTAGTGTTTGAGAATTGAAGTTTTGTCCAATTTTCCTAATGTGTTCCAGTTAGAAATGTTTTAAAATATTATTCTTCCAAGCAGAAGAATTCAGAGTAAAGTCACTACAGCCATATTGATAATATATAGTGCCATGTTTAATTTAATAAATCTGTGTCAATATATGGTGAAGAGATATTACACTGACAACTTAGAGTGAAATATGTCAAAAGGTCCACGATAGACTCATCCCTATTTAAATCAATGTAGGTTCGATGCTAAATTCCTTTCTTTGTAACTTATGATCATCATAACTTTGTAGCCCATATAAAGGCTAGAACAGGCCTTTAATATTCATCATTATTTCTGTGGTCACTGATTCTAACGTCGATGAAATGATGATTATGAAAGATAACCTGAAAATCATAACCACATCTTTAAAGACATCAACACGCTTTGGAGTTATCAGTACAAATACTGTAACACATAATAAACATAAACAGATGATTTTTCTTTATTAAATAGAACATAATACACAAACATCATTGATTAAGTTTTGATTCATATCAAATGTGCTTGATGAGCACAATCTACATAACGAGTAATTGCTTTAATTAATTAATCTTATATTCACTGTGTAATGATATGTTTATCTATTTTAACCATCTTAAGAACTAAATCTAAATACTTTTCTACCTAGATCCTTGTAAAGAACAATCTGTCAGTCATTGCATTTTGAATTTCACATAAAAATTCAAGAGATGATATCCTACGTCTGATTAGTTCACTACTATAATGTACCTTTACTATATATATTATTAATATTCCTATTTTCATTTTAAATGACCATCAGTAAGTCTATGCTGATAGCGGAATACCTCCATATAAGCTTAAGTCACAAGCTTTTTAGTAAAGACGGATAGTGGCTAACAGTAGAGTCAGGAATAGGATGGCGATTGAAGCGAACGGTACTGGGTTCGAGTCCCGGAGTGAACATTAGCTTTGAGATGCAGGTACATCCATCTGACGAGTCCCAGATAAGAGGAAACGCGCATCCTAGATTCCACTGCTAAACACTATCCATCTTTGCTTAGTTCAGATCATTGTCTTTTATATATACACATGTTCATATAAAAATAAGAAAAAACTTATTGTCCCAAAATGATAATCAAAATTTATGTCTGCGCCGTAACGTTAATTTTTTCCTTTATACTACGTAAATAAGATGGATTAAATGTTTCAAATTCAATGATTAGTTTGATCCTGAAATTACATAACTCAACAATTCTTTGGTAAAGTATTATTTTAAGAAAAATGAAGCAGAACTTTCTCTAGGATTTGCATTAAAATGACTTAATTAGTTATACATTACAGTAGTATACATATATATGTCCCGCGGGATCCAAACCCTATCGGTCTCGTGCATGAATACTTAATCCCTAGACCAGTGAACCACCATCCACTGATGCTAATGTCTAACTTCAACTAATCCATCCAGTGCTTCCAGGTTTTTCATGGTGGTCTAGCGCCACTTGACCCATCATTTCAACTATTAAATTACTATAATATCCACATTTCCCCTTTGTAAATAAAATTGATTGAATTTTCATTTCTGATAAATAATTACAAATCAATTTAGGATTTATAGAGTTACCGAATCACAGTTTCAAATATTCACAATTAAATGAATGATATAATGCTATTCAAAGAACATCCCGACATAAATTAGTGTTCGTTAATTTGTTGTATACATTTATTTAATCTATTTATCCCTTTATATTAGTCAGAAACTAGTGTACTAGTTCTTATTGTGTACTGTACAAAATCTAATTTAGATTAGTATTGAATAATAGTAAGTATTAAGTAAACATAAGCTTTTGAATTCTTTGAACAGTGAACTAAAATTATGTGCTTTGTTGAGTGTGATCACATGAGATTATGAACAAAAACCCACATGATGAATACATTAATTGAATGATTTTAACTTTCAGTTTTAGAATCGGATTGTAATCATCATTTAGTAATGTACAACAAATATGACTATTAAGACATAATTTTTTGTAAAGGAATAACAACTTTGTATAGTTATTGGATAGTTGTTTTGTCCCAAACTGATTCTCATTAAGGAAATACTCATCTGTGACTTTATACGGATAAACGTACATCTAGATTTTGTACATTATGGTAAGCATCCCATCTTTATACCCGTGAGAAGAAATTAAAGAGTTCAAATTTTGAACTTCAGTTTAATTATTAGCATCATACAAAAAAACATTTAATCCAATTAACTAGTAATCGTCTTACCCTTGACTTGACTTATTTTACAAACCTTGGCAACTCAATGAAAATTATAAAAGTACATTTAAAAGCAAGTAACTAATACGCATACGAGTGTTAGATAGATAAATATTTTGTTTCTTAAGCATGTTGTATTTAGAACTTGTCTCTTTTGTTCGTTTTTGAAGTGAATGAGTTCTGAATATTGAAGTTTACTATTATCTTTTTTTACTAAAGAATCCATCTTGAACAACAGAAGTGATCTATATCTGTTCATTATGAACAATATCAGAGTAGCGCAGCTCAGATCAATATAACTGGATAACAAACCTAATACTAGTCAATGTTAGGATCTGGAAATTAAATCTCTAATAAAAATTACATTTTTTGTTACATACATCATTTAAATAGTTAAATTATGAGTCGATTGAAGCTAGACCACCATGGAAAACCTTCAAGCACTGGACGGCCGTTTCGTCCTAGTATGGTACTCCTCATCAGTGCGCATCCACGATCCCTCCCACCACGAGATTCGAACACAGGACGTATCAGTCTTGCGTGAGAGCGCTTATCCATTATACCACTCAGCTAACCGGTATCCAACGTTGTCAATATCTAACTTCAACCAATCCACGAAATTGTACCACCGTCACCATTGTCTTCAGTGAGTTGATATCTCACAACAGACCGGGCTGAACTCCACTGGTCACTAGCTGGTGGTCTAGCTTCAATTGATTCATGATTTCAACTATTGAAGTTACTAAAATCTCCACAAACCCCTTCTGATACATCATTTAGTCACGAAAGGAAACTAAAAAAAATAACCAAAATCACTATATCAAAAAAGATATACTGAATATTGAAAACATTATAGATTATAATCAAGCATAGTTCATATTAACACTAAAATGATTTAACCAATGAGTATGTTGACATTTTGGATAATTTCAGTTTGTTTCGTAAAAAGCGAACATTTTTAATTCAATTGGTGTTGTTTTAATTGTATCTTCTCATTATTTTTAAAGTTTGCATTTAATCAGTCTCTTGTTGACATATATATATCCCCTGCGGACTTCCTCCGTATTGCCTAAAGTCACATGTTTTATAAGCAAAGATGAATAGCGGCTAGTAATGGAATTAAGGACGCCGCGTTTCGTCCTACTCAGTAGCTAAATAGATAACGTGATGGCATTTGAATTGAACGGTACTGGGTCAGAGTCCTAGAGTGAACATCAACTTTAAGATGAGGGTACATCCATCTGACGAGATAGGATGGAACGCGCGTCCTGATTTGCACTGCTAAGCAGTATCCATCTTTGCTCAAGTTCTCATGTAACTTCCATGAAGTATAACATGTTTTGTGAAGCTATGTTGATTATTCTCATTAAAGATCACATGATCAAATCTAAAATCTTTTTATACTACTGATCCATTAATTGAATTCAGCTTTTTAGTAAACATGTAATATATATATATATATATATATATATATATATATATATATATATCATAACTAAAGGGTAATGTGATTTATCTGTCAAATGAAAAGGAAGTTTGAGTTTTTATGACTTTTTAAATAGGCTATTTTAGTAAATGTTAACAGTCATATATTTATTGATATGAAGATCAGGAAGTTCTGAATTCCTTGTAAGCAGATGTATATTTGTAAACTCAAAAGGCTTACGTACCTTCGATTATTTGGATTGTTTCATACCAGTGACACAGTTAATTGTTTTAATAAAAGATTAGATTGCCTAATACAACATGTAATTTTACAGTAATCAATGCCTAGAAAATTTAATTTTCATTTCCTTAAGTTTGTCATTATTGTAAAGAACATTTAAGGCCATAAATACGGTGTTTGGTTTATAAATTAACATACACTTTGTAATTCTAATACCATATTCTCACATGCGTTCGTAGTCTTCTCCTGTCTTCAAACACTGGTCAATTCATAGCTATTATGGTTAATTTTTGATAGATCCGGGAACATATTATATTCAATGGTATTACCCAATCTTATAAAACTCTAAGTTTCATTAGGTCAAATTAAAAAACACACAACGAATTTATCATATACATGGATAGTTGAAAAAAACCATATAAATTATACATGTATACAACTAAAATCAAGGAATGAACATACCAGTGTTAAGGTTTAGTTTATTGCATAATTCATTATTTTGATCATGCATGTTTATACTGTCCGAAATTTGATCTTCTTTTGATCTGTTATAAGAATTAAATTTTTTATGTTTTCCAATTACATCAGAACAATTAACATCAGTCATATCATTAGAAACATCATCGGTAATGGAAGTTGAAGTTGGTGTATACACTTGTTGGACAAGATTTTGCTCTTGAGCAATGGATTTTGTCAACCATGATATCTTTAATCTGTTCGATTTTACTGTTGATATTTTATCACCGTTTGTATTAATTTTAACTGTATTCGAGATATTACTTTTATCATTATTATTACTATTATTATTATTATTATTAACGCTGTTGTTACTATTACTGATACTATTACTAAGACTAAGATTATTCCTGTTACGTAAGTTGTCAACAAACCGATTAAAGATTGATTTAATATTGTGGATGAATGATGAATTTCCTGCACATTCATTATTACTAATAATACCATTTGAAGAATCTATTTGAAAATTATCTTTTACTGATAAATTAAGATGTTCATTATTGCATAATATTTGATTTGGTGTAAAAAAATGTCCATTAGATGAATATGATTTTGATAACGGTGGTGGTGGCGGCGGAGGTGGAGGTGTTGTTGTTGTTGATGATGATAATGATGTTGATGATAAATTTTCACCTTCTATTTTTTCACATGTAAATAATTTATGATTACGAAATTTTGAACAATATAAAGGTGATGTAATAGGTGTTATAGAAGTTAATGTTGAAATCGGTGAAATAGATTCTGATGAATGTAGATCATTATGAAAATTTTGTTTTATATGATCAATACAATGTAAATTTGATTGATATTGTATATCATTATATTGTGAATTTTTTGATCGATATGGTAAGATCGTAACAGATTTTGAAGTTCTTTTAGATATTTGTACAATTTCATGATTATTTTTATCATGTTCATCAAATAGTTTACAATGTTTTTCATTCTTCCATGATTTTGAACGACAAATAGGTTTTTTAGTTTTAGTTTGCCCAGTTGATAACATGATTATTATTATTATCAATGTATTGTTCACAAGGTAACTCTTAATTGATTTGATTGATTGATTTGAGTAGAAGTTATGAAAAAACCAAATTTTATTTGTTTACGTTTCGTTTTCTTTCTTCAAATTAACAAAAAAAGGTTCATATAATATATCCAGGTTACTAATCATTAACTGTTAATTGATGAAACGTGAATTACATTTAGTATTAAATAACTAACACATTAATAAAAAGGAATATTTTAACTTAATCATTTTAATAATACATATTGTAAAACATGATCAGTAGACCTGTAGAATATTTGAAAATTCGGGCAAATATATATATTACTTCAATAATAATCAATGGCCTACTTGAATGTCTGAGTTACCTATTCCTGACCTCCGCATATTTGAACAAGTTAACTGTCTTTAGTTTCATACACATAGTTCCCTTTATTAAAAACAAAGATTCTAGTAGAATAGCATGAATTCAGTTTTATTTCGTTGGTTCTCGTCAGTTGCTTACAACCTGTGATATTTACAAATCATAATTACATAATGGGTTTGAATTACTTACATGAAAAGGGTTTAGTTGGAAGTTATATTGAAGACATGATTCGTATAGTATAGCAAAGGTGTAAATAAATTTAATATACTGAATATTGTAAATATATACCTTATATAAAAAAGAACATTGTGACATCAGTTCAAACGGCTAGAAACAATACTGCGCTAGTCAGAACTTATCCGGCGGCCAAATTCTAATTCTGTATAAAACAACATCTTCAGTAACTCAATCAAAGGTTGATAAGCATCCTTTTCATATTACTGCCAATTGTATTTATAAATTTACGTGTACCTGACAAAGCAGCTATATTGGCCAAACAGAAAGGAGGGCATATCTCAGATTTTTTGAACATGTTCCAAAAATCCTCAGAACAAGAGAAAGAAAGACTTTAAATAGCATAATCACCAAACATCTCCTTGATACAGGACATCAAGTCAATACGTTTCAATCCTTCAAGGTGATTAGTAAGCAGCTAAACTCCAGTCTTCTGAAATTTTCTGAAGCAGTTGCTATCAGGTGTCAAAAACCTGATTTATTTGTTCAAAAGGAGATGGCTTTAATCTTTCCTTGCCTTGGTGACTAATATGCCTCCGCTGTATCTTAATATTTTTTTTATTTTCGTTTAAAATCTTTCTTGCACTTATCACATCAAGTTTTATACCAACTAACTGCCAAAAATTTGTAATCTTATTTTTATCAACTGAGCTCTACTCATTTTATTCCTATCAATGTTTACTTGTTTCTAGCCGTTTGAACTGTTGTCACAATGTTCTTTTTTATATAAGGTATATTTTTACAAAATTCAGTATATTAAATTTATTTACACCCTTGCTATACTATACGAATATGTCTTCAATATAACTTCCATCCAAACAGTTTCACGTAAGTAATTTAAACCCATTATATAATTATGATTTGTAAATATCACAGTTTGTAAGCAGCTGACGAGAACCAACGAAACAAAGATGAATTCATGCTATTCTGCTAGAATGTTTATTCTTGCTCTTTTCAAAATGATAAAGTGAACTATGTGTATGAAATTTCTTAAATCATCATAGAACAAATATAGAAGTATAGTTATCTATACAATAAGTAATAAATATTTAATATAAACCAACTAATAGTAAGCGGAAAAATCATTTACAATTAAATATTTGAATCAATCACTAGTGAATGGCTTCAAGAGGTATATCCTGGAGTTCTAGGGAGAAGTAGTGACCAATGGAGTTCAACCAGGTCTGTTGTGGTATAGAAACTCACTGAAGACAATGGTGGATGTGTCGCTGAATTTCGTAGATTAGTTGAAGTTAGACATGAACACTGTTGGATGCTGGCTCAGTGGTCTAGTGGTTAAGTACTCGCACGCGAAACCAGTAGGTCCTGCGTTCGAATCTCGCAGGAGGCGAGGTCGTGGATCCTCACTGCTGAGGAGTCCCATAATAGGACGAAACAGCCGTCCAGTGCTTCCAGGTTTTCCATGGTGGTCTAGCTTCAACTGACTCATGATTTTAATGATTGAAATAAAATAAGTCATTATATGTTAATAAATACACGTTTTAAATATTAATGAGTTCAATGTATTAAACAGGTTTTCAGTACAATTAATTATTATGTAAACATATTCATTGCATTCATGATAGTCATGATTGAAAGTTCAATGAAGTCATAATACGTGTTTAAGTAATTACAAAAGGGATAATATTTGACAATAAAGAAAACGTTTTATGAAACGAAAAAGAAAAACGACTGTCTTCATCATGAATAAAATATTGGTTATGTAGTTGTTAAGATGTTTGTCTAATATCTTGGTTTAGATTTATTTAAATTGGTTGACAATAAATAAGTTAAAAAATTAGTTCCCGATGACAAGGATTAGTGAATCACTTAATAATTTTAAATATTTCAGTTATTCATACGAATGTTCGTCAAAATTAGAACGAATAGTTTGACAAAAATTGAGCGCCGAGTATAGAGAAATCATTATATATGAAAATTATATTTGTAATGATCTCAGCGATTGAAATTTACATAATAATTCCAACGTTTCGTCCAGCTAACTTGTCTGGACTTCTTCAGGGTACATATTTCTTTAATGATTTTGATTACTACTCTGAAGAAGCCCAGACAAGTTACCTGGACGAAACGTTGGAATTATTATGTAAATTTAAATCCCTGAGGTTATTTCAAATATAACTTTCACATATAATGACTTCCAGTTATTCATGTTTTAAATAGGTTTTAATCGTGTTTATTTTTATGTTAAACATCATATTTTTATTAATAAATATTTGTAATATCCCAATGAGTAGAAAATTAGATTTTCTGACGTTTCGTGACTTAGTGTAAGCCACTTCTTCAGAGAATAAATAACCAAATTAAAATTAATCCAAGTTTAAATACTACAACGGAACAATGCAAGAATAATATTTGATCAATTTATTCGAAATTATCAAATCAAACCTTGGTAATGATACCTACAAACATCATATTTGTTACGCAATCTTCATGTAACTAAATGTTATTTCGTCTATTTTAAGATTATCATTTCATTTACCCAAATTTTAAAAACTATGTAAATTCTTCGAATTAAACACACTCTTGACTATAAAATAATTACTGTCTAATTCTTTTTTAGATTTCTATATCTATGTTCAACCGACCATAGGTAAGTGACATACGTGGTAATCTTTAATGAGAACGGTATTGGGTTTGATTCATGGAGTGAACATCAACTCTTGGATATAGGGCACGTCCAGCTTATGAGCCTAAAATACAACGAAACGAGCGTCTTAGATTTCACTGTTAGCCACCATTCATCTCTGCTAATAATTGTTGTGACTTAAGACAATATTGATGAAATCTGCACAGGATGCATATATGCTAATAAGAGACTGAACAGTTGCAGTCTTAAATGTCAATGGTAAGATTCAAACAACCAATACAAATGACCTTAGACATGTTATATATATATATATATAATACTGATAGTTTCATAGTCGTTTCTTTAGTCTCCACTTTCATTATTTAATATTATGTTTCAACCATATTATATTTCAATACGAATACGGTTGAAATCGAGTAGTGAAAAACCAACAGATCCCTATTAAGACAACTAAAGTCTCGTACAAGAATAAAATAGCTTTCTAGTGTTTAACTGTTTATATTGGTTGTTGAACTAAGACTAGTACAACATTTAATCTATAAAAAAATCCAACAATCTCCACAAATCCCATATAACCAACACGTACTTATTATAATGTTATACCATTGGTGCTGATAATTGGTGACGGTAACGAAATTCGTCTTATTAAATAAAGCTATTATTATCATTATTAACAGAAACGTCGTACAAGATTCGATTTCAATATGACAGGATTATTTTACATTGAAGCTTCATTGTTTAGAACAAGGTCATCAGTCATATTTTCATGATTATTTTGAATTGTTTTTTTTATGAATTTTGTTCTAAAAGTACGATTGTACGTAATTGAGATTTACTCCATTCTTCAAGTGATTTATTTATGTATAATTGTTTTTATAACACATAGGTAAACAATAACAATTTCACAGTGTATGCTACTTATATTGACAGATATAAGTAGTATGCAACATCAATCGGAAGTGGAATGCCTGACCAAAGAAGATTGAATGAAAGTGAATAAAATAAAAATCGGAGAAGAATCAAAGTAACACAAGAATTAGAGGAATAATGGAGTATGTAAAGAACATGTGCGAATAATGTATTTGATATATAATTATTGTATTTTACAAATACACTGTATGGTTTTGCATATAACAATAAATTGATTTTCCCCATCCAGGTTCTCGTTCACTACAGTTTGACTGACTGGTTTATGCAGCTTAGTTGACTGAAACATCTGATCAATATGTTAGTTTATATTGTATAAAAATCAATAAATTGAGTAAACAAGAAATCATAACCTAGATATAGAATAAAGTTAATGACCAATGAGTAGGTTAACAAAATAAATTTTCTTAATGTTCAAATGAAGATTTAGAATGTCTGCCTTTGTCTCAAAATTATTAGTAATGCAACAGGTTACGCGTGAATTGGAATCACTGATGTCTATAAATATAATTATTGAATACTGAAAATTATATCTGTAGGTGATTACATAATATTTTTCAAGTGTATGCTTTCTTGACGGCAGTTCTATCGAGGCTCCTTTAGTCTGTATTCGTGGTGGTTGGAGGTAGTCAACAGGAAACTATGGACCTAGGTTTCGTGCTACTCGGCACTCGTCAGCAAGTTGTACTGTAATCTTGAGGGAATAGATGCTCCCGGACGGATTCGATGCCATGTCACCCAGCTTCACATTCAAAGACGTTACCAGTAAACTCTCCGGGTTGCAGCTGACCTGCACTAAGAAGGACCTGACACACATAACATTGATCACCACCCTGTGATCAGTCATTTTTAAATAAATCTCAG